GAAGACGAAAAGCGAGAGGAATGCGAGTTTAATGATAAGTGATCTGATTGAAAAGAACCCTATCTATTGTCTCGCGAATTTTCGATACAGTCACACATATTATTTCTGTCGCATGACACGAAGCACACAGCAAAAGATCCCCCTTGCCTCTATACCGTCACGCTCGCCATCTTCTGAGCAATACAGCGGTATATCTGTGTATGAATGTGTGCGAGCGTGCGTGTGCGCACACGTAGCACTGCCAGACAGCAAAATAAAACAAAACTAGCATGTGCCTCTCTACAAAACCAATATAGTTCTCCGACTACGTATATTAGTCTTTATTGGCGTAATACGAATGCCGAGAAAGTTAAAATACAGTATTAAAGAAAAAGAGAGGAGGAAGGAGGAAGGGGAGCGATTGCAGGAAGAAGATGAGGAAGAGGTGGACGTAAACATCAGTCATGTAAACAAAACCAAAGGAGCCTACCATAGGTTTAAACACATGACTATTTCGCTGAGATGCGGATTGACCACTTGAGTTTCCACTACCACTTCCAGTGGCAGGCGGTTGATGATTAGAAGGTGGTGTTGATACTTTGTGTGGTTGTCGTGGGTCGTCTCGAGGTGTCGGTGGCAATGGCCGAGATGGTGGCTGCGGGTCTGGAACTACTACAATGCACACAGAAGAGAAAGAATTGAATGATACTAAAAAACAAAGCAAACAGCTGCAGCTTGAGTAGAATAAGATTATAGTAATCGTCTTAATTCTAATACCTTAAGATTTTCATTAACTCGTAATTATTAAATTTAGTTCATAAATAAATCTCATAAATAAATAAATGCTAATAAAATACTCCCTCTATCTCACACTTGATTATTTTGTATATAAACTTTGTTTAAAGTCTTCTTTTTTCATTTTTATAGAAATTTCATATAAATGCATAATTACTAATATTATTGTTACCTGCTGTATCAATCACTTTCTGATTAAACAATATATGCCAAATTCAAGAAACAGTCAAGTGGAAAATATGAAATTTAGCTGCAGTTTTGTTAATCATGCCATGACTTAATTTGTTGCCAATTCTTAAATCGTGACAATAACTACAATATTACATTGCACTGATCATTTCATTTATCTGCATAAATAGTTTCTGTACTGTTATCTTCCATAATACTATCACAACGGGGGTCACTTAAATTTTCCTCGATTTTTACTACATTTAACCGTATTTCACGAAAGAATACAAACAGCTTAAAGCCAATTATGCAAATATCTAATTTCATTTAATTTGATTATGGTTCATAATTAGAAAATTTTAGAGAAATGTATACCGCAATATGGGACAGAAGGAATATTGCAAAATAGAATTTTAATATAGTTACTAATGAGGGCATCAAATGGGAAAAATGACCGAAGCATGACAAAATACATATTCTGATGACGTATGGTTTGCATGGTAAATTATTTATAAGCAAAAAGTGGATAAAAAATCAAAAATTAGTTCTTCGTATTCTTTGTATATTGTTTACATTATAATAATCAAACTGGACTAGTACAGGTCCATACTGTATGAAGCTAAACTTACAGATAGAATAAAATATATAAAAATATAAAATGTACTTAAACAAATTGAGTTCTAAAATACAGATCAGAACAATGAATTTAGAAATTAAGTAATGTACTATAAAACTCACCAATTAGTCTATGAGGAATAGCAGGTCTTGCAGGTGGTCCTGGCTCTGGTATATCTCTCTGAGATCTGCTACTCGGTTTGTCTTTAGCTGCAGATGGTTGAGGAGCTACTTCTTGTGTCAAAGTTCTACCCTCTTGAATTTGCTGGAAATTTCTGCGCAATGTATCACCACCGGGGGCTTGAACAATAGATGATGGTTCACCAGCCAGTGCTGGTTCGTCTTCTTCATTTTCACTACCACTATATCGATAATCGTCTCTTTCTATAATACAAAAAAGATAATACAATTATAATTTCTTTAAAGGCTTCTTATAATACAAGCCAAAGCATGCAATAGAAATCAATTCGATACATGCCATCTATGTATAAATCAGTTCTAGTGAAAATTTATTTAGATGGACATTTTATAGTTTGAAAGTAATGGCACTATCTAAATTATATTCATTTTAATCGCACTAAAAATAGCTCGACCTTCTTAAGTAAAAATTTGATCTTATTTTATGATAATTTTTTGCAACAACGATATCCAATGTTATATTAACAAATATGATTTGTAAAATATTCAATAAATATATGTAGTACCATCGACAATTACGCAAATAGAGCTGATATTAGGTATGTACTTTTTCTACTTTTATTGTTATTATTTGTGGTAATAAATGCATAGTTAACTTAGACACAATGTAAAAAGAATAAAACAAAAACTACTGAGGTCCTTTTGAAATGATACTCTGGTTCTTGCAACATTGCTGATTTAACATAAGTATAGTAGTGGTGGAATTACATGGCCATAAGATAACTAATTTCTATTGTATTTTTTGTGAGCATAGTTTGTCAATTAGAATTATAACGTGAAAATTGAAAATGTCAAAGTGTAGTATATAGAACATCATAAAGAAGCAGCAACATATAAACAATGGCTAAAATCGTAAACGTTCTTGACAAAGGAAGATTACAAGGTGAATTTAAATGAATGTATATCATTACATAAATCCCTTTTCCCTGAAGAAAATAAAAAAATAAGATTAACATGGGTAAGCATTTCACAAAATTGAAAGGGGGTTATATTTATTATATTAACTTTTGTAAAAGCACTTTTGTGCATCAAAGGATTGATAAATGGCCGTTGATGGACGTTTTCTTGTCAATGAGAAAAAGAATAATCGTGTCCAAATTGATAGTAAAGTAAAGAGAGAAGATTATCGTTAACTATTGGAGCAAAACGTTATCCCATTTGGATAAAAGCAACCAGCAAAATATTTGTTTTTCAACAAGGTAACCTTAAATATATGAGGTACGTTCGAATAATATTTCACGCGGGTGAAAAATGATTCCTTATGAAAAAATATAAAAAATTATACAAAAAAAAATGTTTCGTCCAATGTTTCATTTCCGAAAAAATCGAATTTAAAAATTTGCTATATAGATATGCAATTATGACTAAGATACAATTTTCTGTGTGACGCACAACGTCTATTTTTTTATAAACAATATCTACATCTGTTCCTTCATTTACGCGAAGTATTCGTTCCATGTGGATTCGTTTTACGTGAATGAAAATTGCGTAAATAGACTGTTAGTACAAAAGAAACTACACGGCATTGTAGTTAGAAAACTGTTAGAAAACAAACATGCTGAGCTTTTTTTATCAGTGATACTGTTATTGTTACTTCTATAAATTTTAGGAAAATATATTTCTTGGCTGCATAAATTCAAATCGTGCAAATTAATATTGCGTATAAAAAATACGTGTAAATAGTACTATGATTTACCGCATAAATCGACTCGCGTAACCAAATATCTTGTCAATGCAGGAATGCGTAAACGTGTTTACACGATATTTAAGGGTTACTAAATTCAAAAAACAACAGGAAAATACTTTCAACAATATTTAAATAAACTCATCATTACCGTAAAAAATTCCACTCTAATCAGCATGTTCCTAATTGGAGTGGAACAAACAAATATAAAACGTTCCTTGAAATGCACATTTGTGACTGATCATTAAATATTGTTGATAAAATATCTTTTCATTTTTCTTGCACTTAATAACTAACATTGCTAAATATCATATACAATATCTATTTATTGTTTATCAACTGAATAGGCGTTATACGTCACACGGAAATTTGTGTCACAACTGTATGCGTACATAGTGATTTTTCAAACTCGATTTTCTCTCAAAATTAATTTTTCTTTGAAAATTCTCAATTCTTTTTTTTATTTTTGATAATAAATCGCCTCCCACTTGTTTGATACGTTCTCCTAACACACCTTGTATAATACATCCAAATGTTCTGGTTACAGCACTATGATTTGAAATACAAGCCATGTCTTTTAAACATGACTTACTTATAACACAAACTTTAGAATTTATGTTTTGTGTTTTTTTTACAACAATATCGGAAAAATTGAGTTTTTGTCACGTTATTGTAAAGACCGTTATCCGAAAGATCACGTACGTACTGTGTTATTGAAAGGTTGCCTATATGTATAAACATTTAACTCTAGAACAGTAACATGAAGTCACTTGTAACCACCGTTCAATTGAAATTTACGCGCATAATAAAATCTGGATAAACTTCTGATTTACTTTATCTTCTGGAGAAGTAAAAAGTTGATAATACAATTTATATATATATATATATTAATGTACAACTATTAAGACAAATGAACACATTTTAAAATCTTATATGCATATAAACGTATTAAAATTTTTTGCGAAAATCAATTCATTAATTGGTGTCATACACAACACCATGTTACTGCTTTTGAGCAAAGCAATCACGTTAATATTTTACAGTTAAAATCACTAGTCATTGGAAGGGTTAGTCACTTGTCCGACTCTACGTATCTCGCTAATTTCCATACCTTTTTCCTGTTTACGTTTTTTGCAACGGTCGATATGGTCTTTGAGTTGTATCCTGACTTGTCTTTCAGTCGGTTGGTCCCGAATAAAAGGATGTTTAAGAAGCTGTTCCGTATATGGCCGCTGATGATAATCTTTTACTAACACCGTTTCGATAAAACCATGAAATTTTTTCGACCACTTCTTCGATTTCAGTCTTGGTGGAGGGTTACGTGGTATTAGAAACAATGCCTATTGGATGTATTAAAAGAAAGTTAAATGTTATCATTTCCCTTGGTGCTATGTAATACAACAAAGAAGGAATGTTCGCATACTTACTCGCATTGGATGGAGGTCACAGAGCGGAGGTTGTGATTCAGCCATTTCTAAAGCTGTAATTCCGAGTGACCAAAGATCACTTCGATTGTCGTATGTAGCATCTGGATTCTCATCGCAGGCTATTACTTCAGGTGCCATCCAATATGGTGTTCCGATGAACGTGTTTCTTCTACCTATTGTTCTGTCTAGCTGTGCACTGACGCCGAAATCAACTACAATACAAGGAACAAGCGAATAATTAACGATATAATTAACCGAATCGCTCCTTAATTAAAAATCTTCTCGTAAAAGAGTTATACTTCTAAATGAGATATTAGTATTGACCGATTAATTAATTCACGATGGAAAGAATAACGCACCTAGCTTGACTTCAGCATTGTCAGTCAACAGAACATTTTGCCCTTTGATGTCCCTGTGAATAACTTTATTGCTGTGAAGATAACTAAGTCCTCTTAAAATCTCCCGAGATATATAGGCAATCCATTCTTCTTTCAAACTCTGGCCCTTTGTAGATTTCACAAGATCTGTGACGGAGCCAGCTCCGCAATATTCCATAACCAACCATAACTGATCATCTTTGCCAGGTGACGACTTCTTTACGAAGGCACCGTAATATGTTGCTATGTTTCGATGATTTGAATACTGAAATTCCAACAACAACCAATTTTAGTTTACCTTTCGAAACATACAATTTTTTTCTTTAACAATCATCTCAACTGCTTGTACTTACCCGTTTTAATACATTTATTTCTAATTTGATTTCTTCTTCCTCGTCCTGAAATAAACAACATTGTTATAAACAAAATGATTTATAATTTAGTACAAGATTTCTATATCAGTTACTAGTATTATATTTCAAATACTTTTAATTTGAAATGTTTTTACAATTGATAACCTTGAATTGGTAAGAAGCAGATTATAATACGGTATGATCCAACCATCATAATGAAATAAAATTTTGAGAGGAGATGACTGAGAGAAGGAGAACAACAAATTCTATATAAATATAGAATATAAATATAGAATTTTAATATCGGGTAATTAATAATTTCTGATGTTAGTAAAAAAACTTTTGATATGTAGTGGAGAAAAAAAATGAGACAGACGTTTTACTGTATATTTGCTACGCAAGTGATGTGCACAAATGCTGTTGAGAAAAGTTTTTCGAATATCGCGCCGCGAAACACTGTAAGCGATGTTTATTCAATTTTTTGGGTCTCTTCTCCCAATGGCGACTTTTAAATTACTTTTACTGGCGACTCCCGGCATTGGCTTATATAGCAAAGGGCCATACTATTCACGATAGCTTTGACTACATATAAAAAAATCTAAACGAAGGGAAAGTCGAACGCTGGTCGTCAACGTTTCGTTAATCGGTGGCTTCTTACTGGAAAGTGTTCCCGAGTCTCGAGATGCAATAAACAGAACGAGAGCCACATTGACAAGGGTGGTCCTTCTCAGGGCACTAGTTCTGTAGCCTTCGCGGTGACAACGTCGAAGTAAAAAGGTTCTATTTGACAGCTTTCCAGCACTACTTAAGCCTAAATTTTCCTGTCTAAATTTTCACCCGCCTAGCAATACCCAACAACAGAACGTTCTCAATCCTGAGAAGTTCCAAAAAGTTCGATTACAGATAAAACACATTAAATTTCGCTTATACAGACATAACTAAACGATGGTCCTTGTTGCACCTAGTAAGTAGTTGTAAATAGTGTAAGTGGTAGAACTATAGTAGTTGTAAGTACATGATATCGGTTACTGTAACTTCAGTTGCTCAAGGCTTAAGGAATGTTTATACTTTAGTTTCGATTGATTACAGGTCCCAAGGAATTTTGACGATTTTATATAATAATGGCAACTCAGTTTCTCATGTCGAGTATGGGAAAGAGAGTAAGACTAACTTTTTACGGCACGGGCAGAGGCGCATGCTAGGGATGTGCCGTTATTTACACATATTAAGGGTATCTATAAGTAATGTCGTACGACTTGACGTTTGTCGTTGCATCCATGCTACAAACTTCGTGTGAATCATATTGATAATCTATTAGTGCTACAATAACCTCAAACGCTGCCCATATAAGTTACTCAATTTTTTTCTGGAGGATTCATCATCATTTAACGAGAACGAGTTCCGATAAAGTGATGAAAGAGGATATTCGACATTGTACGCTTTATAAATTTCGTAAAGGAAACTATGCTACCGTTGCAACAATCGATATTAATAATGTTTATCCTGAAGTCCTAAGTATCCGGAAATGTCAACAATGACTCAATATTTTTGAACGGGGACTTTCGTCTATAAAACAATGCTAGATCAAAGAGTTGATCTCTTCTTAACATCTTGCGCTGGAAATTAATTCAAAGATTTGAGACAAAGTCTTGCACGAAGAATTTTGTTTTTACCTACTTTAGATAGATATGTACATTAATATTGTTTATTAATAATTTTATATAAAGTGGTATATTTCAAAGTAATCTACCGTATGTAATGCAACAAGGCTATCGATGCGTGTAAAACGTCACTGGTAATTTTGGAACAAAAACATCTGGGCATGCATGGCAACGAATTAATGGCTGCGGTTGAAAAAGATGCAAGTTTAAAAATTGGAGAGATTGCAAAAATGATTGATGTATTGTGGTCTACAGTTCAAAAACACCTTCACAAAATTGGAAGGATATGGTGATACGGAGAATGGGCCCCGCATGTTCTTAGAGCAGACAATCATGCAACGAAAGTTGCTGTATGCAATCCGTTACTCTTTAGGTCCAAAGCAAAGCTCTTTTTGGGTCATTGAGTTACAAGGGACGACAAATGGATTCCGTATCATAGTTTAAAGCGGAAATTATAATGATTACCTCCAAGTGGTACACCGATGGCAACTCCAAAACCGAATATTTATGCGAATAAAGTGTGGTTGTGTGTATAGTCGAATTTATAGGAAGTTATTCGTTTTTAACCTTTAAAGCCCAGAAATACTGTTACTGCCAGCCTTTATTGAGAACAATTAATACGTTTAAGCAGTTTAATTGCAAACAAGGATCCTATTTTGGTTAACAGCAAGGTCGTCTTAGCCACACCCGATTTTTATTTATTCAGATCTTTACAGCATTTTTTAGGCAGTAAAAAGTTGTCCAATTACGAAAATGTCAGAAACGGAATACAAAAGTACTTTAATAAAAAATCAAGGGATTTTTATGAAAGGAGCATGCAAAAGCTCGTTTCCAAATGGTAAAATGTCATAGGCAATTGCAGCGACTGTCTCATTGATTGAGTGTTTCGTGTATGATTAAAAAATTTAAGTAAACTTTAGGCTGTTTTCAATCCAACCCAAACCTGAAATTTCAGACAGCTGCACACTTCTACTGCATGCCATACCTTTACTTTATGACTGTCAATAATCATTCCAGTCTAAATCAGTGAAATATTTCAGACAAAATATCTCTTAGTCGACTAAATTTACAATGACCAATTTTACGCGAGGCACTCTATAGAGAGTAAGACGGATATCCCTGTTTTCTTATCAGCTCATAGATTACGACTACCACAGAGAAAAAAAACATTCGATTAATATAATCTATATCGGCAGAATTCAAAGTACGATTTCGAAAGATTTTTTATTGACATTTCAAAAACAAATACTTATTCCAAACTAACGTTTTGTATTTAGAGTCTTTCCCTTTACCTCCCTGCCCCTCAAAATTTCATTTCATTTGAATCATTAGGTTATACTGTACTACCATCCAAGAAACGAAGAAATTGCAAACAATCTAATGGACTAATGTAACTTATTGTTAGACTTTTCTTTTAAAATAAAAAATAATATAATTATCCAAAAGATTCAATATATTCTAACCGTTTTAGCGCCATGCAGCGCGATCGCGCTGTGCGCGTACTGTGGTGAACTGTGTCGCGATGTTTGGTCACGTTTGGTGGCGAGTTATGTCAGAGTTTACTCTCGTAATTACTATTTCTTTTTTTTCAAATAATTGTAAAGTACCTGTATAAATAAGCTGTTTTTATTGAATTTACTTTTATTTACATATATCTCTGCATAGTACAAATATGTTACCACCATTTTTGAAAATATAAAAAAACATAATATAATATTTTATTTATAATAGATATAAAACAAGATTACTAATGTTCATTGTGATGTTTAAAAGTAAGTCTTTTATTTAGTTCACCCATTGCCCTTGCTTCTTTATATCTTTTTATGCTTTTAAGGTGATAAATAAAAAAAAAATGAACAATGATATATTAAATGAAAACACAAAAGTGTAAACACACAAAGACATTGAAATTATAGTCATGGTTTTACAGGATCATGACATTCGTTATTTTTAAAACAGACATGTTTATGAAGACATAATGGATGAAGCCCTTTTTTGCACTGCACACAAATTAAATTCGACCTGGTAGTTTCATTAAGCCAAATATTATGTCATCATCACTTATCATATGTTGTTTTTTGACTTGCATCCATTCATGCTCTATTTCAGATATAATACCTGATGTAAATTCCAATCGAGTCATTGACTTCTTTTTGGTAACTTATAAAATAGATATGCATTTAATATCATATGGGCAATGATGTGAAACGTAACTTTTTTCCAATATTTTACCGTGCGGCATTCATCCAGATAGACGTGTAACATTTTGTCCGATTCGTCAACTCCCCCCATATAACGATTATAACAGTCAACGATGCATGGTTTTACTCCACTTCTTTCGTTTCCATTTCATTTTTTAATTACAATGGTATTGTCATCTAAAGCATGCGTCGAAATTAACAATACAGGTTTTTTTACAGACTTATTTTCGCGGTATCCACACAAAAGTATTTCTCCATCTCGAGCATATTTCGTTTCATTAGTTTTAGGTGTTATTATATCGCCAGGTACGCCTTTTCTATTACGTCTAATTGTTCCCGTTAAGTACATCCCGTTAAGTATTTTTACAGTGTAAATATGTGGCCAAATCTATACTACTAAAATAATTATCGACAAATACATAATGCCCTTTATTTAAATACTGACTTTGCTGTAATAAACTTATAACGACATTGTATCCAAGTCCATGTTGTCGTGACTTAGGATTATCAGTTTTTCCTTTAGCACCCTTATAACAGGAAAAACTTAAACAATATTGGGATACTGCGTCGCAAAGCATCCAAAATTTTATACCCCATCGGTAGTGTTTTTTATTCGGCATATATTGCATGATGCTCGAATGGCATAAAGTTCCTACCAAGGATTCATCGATAGATAATTCCTTATGCGATTTGTAGTACAATTTGAATACTCTATTCGCGTGTTCAACTATTGGCATAAAGTTTACACATGGGTCGTACTTTTCATAGCCTGGTGGGAAACATCCTTTATTATCGACTAAGTGAAAACATTGATAAATAAGCTGGAATCTATTTCGCGAAAACATTTTTGAAAACCAGGGTATGCTCCTTGAATTTTCGGCCCAATAAGAAAATATTGTTGGTCGCCTCGTCATCCCAATTTCCAATCAAACTGCTATAAACGCCTTTATTTCGGGCAAGTCATTTCATCTTAGCTATATATTCTTGTTCGAAACGAAATATACAGGCTGAATCATGAATCGTGATCAGTAAAGATGACTCTCTTATTAGCAGTCCGATCGAAAATGTTATCAGTTTTTGCATGGTTTCAAGAGAGCTTTAACGGGACTATAAAAAATTATTTGTCAACTCTTTTTTTTTTTTCTTTTCAAGGTCACCTTGAATTTTTTGCAAACAAACATAT